TTTTTTTTTTTTTTTCCACTGAAAATCAACAATTTTAAAAGCTTTAAAAAAAAAGTGATAAACCCGTTTATAAAACGAAAGTACCTTAAGAAAAAAGTAATTTTAAATGAAAATGCTGCCACTTCCGTCAGTCCTTTAAAAAATTTCGTTTAAATATCGTTAACAAAAAACTGTAAACAATTGTTATTCTATACAAAAAAAAAATACAAGTATTGTTTAGATTCATAACTCTAAAAACGCCGGTAAATTGAGTGAGTGTCATTATCAGTGGTGGAATTTATGATGAAATGAGAAAAAATTTTTTAAAAGTAGCTCAATAAGTGCTTTGCAATACACTGAGAAACACCAAAAACTCTTAGCATTTAGACTTAACTGTAATAAGTGATGCTATAAGTGTTGAAAACTGAAGAAATATAATTGAAAAACTGTTGAAGAAGTGTATATTCTGCTACAGATATTGATACAGGCCAATGGCAAAGTATCAGTTTGTTTTTTCCCATCTTCTCTTTCTTCCTTCTCATCAATCTGATTATTTATTAGCATTAATCCTATTGTTACTATTACTGTTATTATTATCGTTATTATTATTATTATTATTAATATTAATATTATTATTACTATTATTAGTATTGTTATTAAGGCTGCTGTTGTAAATATTACTGATACTTATAATAATAAAATTATTATCACTGTTACTCCTATCAAAATTTCTTCCTTTTACTTCTGCATTTTTTCACATGTCCACCCAAAAAAACGTTCGAAATTACGATGAAAAGGGAAATTTAAGTAAAAGCAAATGTTCGTAAATAGAATAACAAAGAAACAAAAATCAAATGAAAATTTTTTTATAAAGTTTTTTTGACAAAAAAAATAGCTTTTTTTGTTTTAAACGAATAAGAAAAAAGTAAGTTTTTTTTTTGATCATGACTGGAAAAGAATTATAGTGTTCAGTTTTTAATTCTTCTTTTTTCTAAATACTAAAAAAATCTCTTCTAGTTTTC